CACATTTAACTGTTCTGTGTATTAAATGTACATATACATGTATATATAAATACACACACTCATATACATACATATACATACTGTATATATATGCTAAAAAACGCCAAAGCAAAAACTAAACTTTATAAAGCAATTATTTTGCTGAGGAGAGTCTTTTAAAATTGTATGAAACTTTTTAAGGAACTTAGCTGTTGTCTTCCTGTTGACTGATATGGAATTATTTGCATTTTTGAGGAATTTTCGGAAGGTTTTGGAACTTTGAAAATACACTCCAGATGAACATTTTAAGACCAGTTCAAAATGGCAAGAATTCAAAATTTTTACTGTTGGATTGCAAGAAGATTCTAAGTAGAGCTTTTAATTTCAAACCGGACAGTCAATTGGGTCCTCCAGCTCAGGGCCAGTGAAAATCTTTGGATCTACCACTTGTCTTTTTTATTCCATAAAGGCCCTCTCACCCTAACATTTTAGACAACTTATACCAACTTATGGAAATTTCAAAGACATGTACGTTGAAGATGGAATAAAAAAAACCTGTAAGCCTGTTTTAGGCATGTACATACTGTAAAGCTAACAAATTGATCAATTATATAACTTTCATAAGTAATTTAAACAAAAAAAAAAAAACAATTTTCCTAAGTTGACATAAGTTGTCTAAAATGTTATAGTGTGACAGGGCCTTTTTCCTCAGGATCTTTTAAGAATTTAAAAATGACCTCAGCAGCAATGGTACGCTGCAAGAGGCCTTGCTTTTGCAGCTCAACAATCAGACCYCYTTCAAAGAGAAAAAGATTATTTGCCTTTGCCATCAGGAGGTCATGACACTGTGGATACCAGACAGAAAATGACTCAGCTGATGAATAGCCTATTTCAGTTTAATGGTTGTTTGCGATAAAATGTTTACTCTTTTTTTTATCTCACTCCCATTTCTTCTTTTTGTTTTTCAAAGCTCCACTGAAAACCTTCCAGCAGTGCAAAATGTGAATTCTTGCCATTTTCAACTGGTCTTAAAATTTTAATCAAGGTGTGTTTAGGAGAAAAAGTAACAAAAAAAWCTTTTCTCATGAAGGGTTGTTAAAACTAGTTTAGTAAATGTTTAGTCAAGTGAGAAACTGACTTGGGGGTTAAAGTGTCCAATAACAATATCCTAACAAAGGAAAAGAGAAAACAATTTGTCTTAAGACATTAAAAACTGTTTGAATAATGTCTACTGCTCTCTCACTAGTGGGACAGCTTATGACTTCTAAAGTGCTCAGGTCTTGCAACAGGGCTGCTATTTTCAAAGAAACTTGTTGGAAGATAAATTATAACAATATAATACAAAACCCTCTCAGCGGCAGTTTGCAACAGAAGTTATTTCCTTTGCTTTATTTATTTAAAGCAACTTAGCAAGTTTCTCAGAAGCATATCCAGAACTAAATGACAAGTTGATGCAACATGTAGGGATCGTACAATAAGAGTGTGGTGTTATATAAGCATTAATAAAGCCCAGACATCAGTCAGTCAGTCATAAATATGGCTGGCATGTTTAAGCACATTGCTGACGTATCAGCAGATGCATCAGTGTTTGTCTCTCGGTAATTAGTCATAAGGTATTGCTGTACAGAAACAGTAAAACTGTGTTCCAGTTTATCTATAGTGTTGTAATTACAAAGTGTGTCCTCCAGAGAGCACCAGTCAGTTAATTTATGGCCTTAAATATCACCTCTTCTGCACATACTTTTATCTTGTTTTTAAATAAAAGATCAAAACTTCCATAGCTGTCAGAGTTTATACAAAGAGAATAAAATATTGCATTGGTTTTTTTAGACAGGTATTTATTAATAGAATTAGAGCTGTTTGCTCAATATGAAGAAAAGGTGAAGGGTTTAAGATTATGTCTTGAGGAAGGCAAAACAACAAGTTTAAAACAATAAATTCTACACTGACTGTAAAGTTGCTTTCTGTATTGTTTTGGCCATGCGTTCACAATGTCTCCTCTTCACCTTGTTATGAAATCAGGGTCTCAGCAGTTGTCTACTCCAAGCATAGTAACAAATGCATTAACTGTAATGATATCATGGCTGTTATTCACTCTGCTGAGCAATAACAGTCGATACAACAAAGCCAAAAACATGCTGCTCTCTCCATCTGTATCCAGTTCCCAAAACTGAATTTGTTGACTTGCTGTTGTGGTAACTTGCACAGAGTAGCCTCAAAGATATGGTTTTATAATATTGAAAAACATGGAGTTTGGAAAATCTACCGCTCATTTTAAGGCTTAGTCTTTTTTATTTTTCTTATGTCTGCATCAACTGAGGTTGTTCTGTTGATCGTCAAAAACAAATTAACCAAAGGACAAACCTTTAGACTAGGGCTATTCAACTGTCTGTACCAAAAATACACAAACTTACTGGTTAAATTTTAAAAATACCTTCAAAAAGTTAAAATTGTATATACATCTACTACTTACTTTTGGAGTTAATTAAATTCAAGATGGCTTCCACAGCTAACTTACCTTTTGAAAACACAAAAACTGATTTAACTCTGTCAATTTTACAGATGTGGACCAAAAATTTGGTCCTCTAATCTTAGCTATAACCAATTGTACAAGATCCTTGTTTAAATTTAATATTTAACTAGTTAATCACATTCATCTTTTAGTGAAATATCTCTTGAACCACTAAACAGCTTTTATTTTTAAATGCACCTCTACAATCTATATACACTATATTGCCCAATAGTATTTGCTCACCCATCCAGATGACTGTGCACCAGAGCACAAAGCAAGATCRATAAAGACATGGATGGCAGAGTCTGGTGTGGATGAACTTGACTGGTCTGCACAGAGTTCTGACCTCAACCTGATAGAACACTTTTGGGATGAATTAGAACAGAGACTGAGAGCCAGGCCTTCTGTCCAACATCAGTATGTGACCTCACAAATGTGCTTTTGGAACAATGGTCAAAAATCTCCATAAACACTCCTAAACCTTGTGGACAGCCTTCCCAGAAGAGTTGAAGCTGTTCTAGCTGCAAAGGGTGGACCAACTTGAATCCTTTGGATTAGGAATGGGATGTCACTGAAACTCATGCGAGTCAAAGCAGTTGAGCAAATACTTCTGGCAGTATTGACCCTTTGCACCCACGTGACAAAGTCACATGATACCGGCATGTCGGACGGCAGAAGCCACAGAGGGGTGTATTGAATTGAATAGCAGCGATTGTTTTTTTTAAGTTGTTTTTTTTTTTTGTTTTGTTTTTGCCATGGTTTCTACTTGTTCAAGTTTAGACAATTTTTCTGTGGAAGTCGCACACCTAATTGGGGCTCACAGACAGCGTTATTTACAGAAGTTGGACATATCTAGCTTAGAAATCTGCCCATATCTTCTCCGTCCGGACGTYTTTGTTAGGTTCTCATAATGGCCAAGGTAAGACTTGCTTGTTAATGCTAATGTATTTTTATTTGCCGATTTCATATATGATTCTAGATGTTTTTCAAAGCGACGTCTGTCTGACGCTCGTGTTGCATTAAGCGTCTGCTTCCTGAGATCCCACTGAGCAGATATACTAACGTTAGCGTCAGACCTTATGAATCCGGTCAGAGATGCTTTCTTACTTATTTTTTTCATCAGATCTTCTTTCAGAGCTGTGCTTTCTCCACTCTGTATGACTGGTTCATATCTGTACGGCTGGGTGGTTTTTAGAGTCGACGCCAGCTAGCAAGCTAACAAGCTAGTAGCTTCTCTTCATGACAGCTCCGGGTACAACAGCGCTCCGAGCTGCACTTCTTTCTGTTCGATATTTAGCTGAAATGATCCATTCCCAGTTAAATTAAAAAGATGAACAGCTTTGATGATCAGCTGGTCTGATTTTATGACCACCTGAATGCGTAACTTGTGTTTATTCAATCAACGTGAAAAAAAGCTTCTCCTCCTCCGAAACAACACTGAATAAAAACAACTATACAGTATTTCCAGCTATCACTGTTGTTTATATCTTCACTATGACACGGAGTGCTGCGGGTGGGCAGACGGGGAGATTATAATATTTTAGAACCAGTAGCGCAGCGTCTTCAGCCCGTRACTGCTCGGTCCAAAACCGGAGAGACACTCCGGTCCACCGGCCGACTGCGCAGCAGCTTAAGACTACGATCAAAGGACAAGTTTGGTTTGTTTTCTTGTCTGTTTGTGCAGCCGACTGCGCAGCAGCTGAAGACCATTTTTACAGCTAAAGCAACAGTGGGGAAAGAACGATATTAGGCTACCAACTYCCTGATTCTCCTATAGCTCAATAGTAGCTTATAGACGCATGTCTGCTTTTTGCCATCCAACATGGAAAAAAGGGGCGGTCTTCTGAGGCGCGTGACGTCACGTGCAAAGGGTCAGTAGTGTACTTTTGAAATAAATCCTTTTTAAGACAGGAGCTACAGCTAACCAATCAACACATAATTGCCCACAACTCAGTCAATTTTAGAGATATTGAGCTAAAACATGATGTGGGGCTTTGTTACGGGGTCATTTACAACACATAATTTTGAGCGTGAATTCTGGCTTTTACTGCTACAACTCCCTTCATTTCACAACATAAAATGTCAGTCTGAAACTCTGGCATGGAAGATGGTGGGCGATATCTCTTTCTACATGGAATTCTAGGTCTTTAATCAAAAATATGAATGATAATAGAAACCTAAAAAAAGACAGATTTCAATCCGTCTATTTTTTTACCACCATAGAAGTAAAACTGCCTATGGTTTGATTAACTGTCATTTTTAAAATCAAATTTATTCTAGCCGTATTTTTTTCCTCTCTCATTGTCATGCAGATTCTGTCAGCCACTCAAATCTGAACAATATTCACAACCACCTTTTCTCACTCATCATCATCCTAGGCGATGACAGCCCTTTATTCCAGGTGTTAGTTGGTCCTTGGAAAGCCTCTCCTGCGTGTAAACAGCTCTCCCGTCGGCACGGTTTCTCTTCATATAACAGATGTTAAAAAATGCCTGAAGTACAAACAGAAATCACTCGTGCATCTCAGCAGCCAAACCAGCTTGGCGCTTGTGTTAGCKGTGTGCCAGGGCAACGAGCAGCCTCTGGTGTCCTCCTTTATTGTGCCGGCAAAGACTTGCCCTAGGCGCTCTAGATTTGTCTCACAACTGAAAAAACATACATGTTGACAAACTTTAGGTACTCAGGATTTGTATTCGGCATTGTGAGTACCCAAACTGATGTACTTGTACTGGTACTTGGTTTGAGAAAAAACTGGTATTGGGACACCCCTAAATGTTAATCACTATTTCATGCAGTATTGTGAGATCTTGCAAAATTTGACAGCTCTCAGAGTACATGCTGAGCTACTACTTCACCAGATTTTAAGTTGCATTTGTAAAATTGAGTGAGTTATGGCCATTTTTGTGTCTGCTAATGTCAATTAACTGATGGTCATCTTGAATTGGGTTGATTCTAATAAACTCATCAATTGTGGATGTATCTCCAGTGATTACTTTTTGAGTGTTGCATTAAAATTTGTCTACTAATTTATGAGATATTTTGCTTATGCTGAAAAACAAACATACACATGCACACACACAAAAACAACGTTACCCTTTGAGCTTTAGTGGTGAGCAATGATAGATGGAAAGACCTTTATCTCTGTGGTTTTTAATAACATTTAAACTGCAGTCAACCTTTTGGATAGATAGATAAAATCTGCAGGTGGCAGTTTAAATTGTCTTGCTCTATGTGGAAAAAACTTTGCATTCCTTCTTTTTTAGGCTTTACGAAGTCTTGGGTGAATGACTTTAGTGTAAAGCACTGTATAAGTTCAGGCCATTTAACATTTAAAAGGATTGAATGAACCTGAAAACGATGTTTTAAGTTGTGTGAAAATCAAAGTTTTTTGTTTGCGTCCACAGTTTTCATCTTTTTTGTTTAAATGTGTGGTGCTGTATTAACTCACTGAGCTTCTGCAACCTGTTGGTGTTCATTTGTATATTTTCATCTTTTCTACTTGTAATTGCAGCAAAGTACAATTGTCTGCCACAACCGTGTAGACCRCAACGGTTCACGCTACCTGCTGGGCGACATGGAGGGCCGCCTGTTCATGCTGCTGCTGGAGAAAGAGGAGCTAATGGACGGCACGGTGACACTCAAAGACCTGCATGTGGAGCTGCTCGGAGAGGTGCTCATTTATCTTTTTCCTTCTGCTGCTTCATCACTGTCTGTCTTGGCTCTGTTTATCCTCCCGACTGTCCTCTGGCGCTTCTCCCATCTGCTTTTCACTACCTGTCTTGACCATCCATTTTCTAGCTTGTTGATTTTCCTCTTCTGCCTTTTCTCCTCGTTACCTCAGTACCCCTTTGTGTTGCAATTGACTTTTTAATGGTTTATGGCCCTAAGAACAGCTAATGGGTCTGTTTGCTTGTACAGATGAGTGGGGGTAAAAAGATCCCAGCTCTCTGCTGTCTCACTGCCAAGTTGATGCTTATCTCTTAAAAGTGGATTTAGACAATGACTGTATTTAATATTGTGCTTGAAGCTCAGTCTTATGTACGAGACTGACAGTATTTAGTTTGTAGCACCTTTCTCGTAATGACTTTCCGTCAAGCTTAGAGAGGTGAAAAGCCTTTTTTCTACTTCGGAGTGATGCTTCAGCTAGAAGCAATCAAGTAGACTGAGTGCTCAGCTGTGGATGGATTGCTTTTAAAAACATTCATAACTGTCTAGACCAGCTTGTGCAGACATAAGCAGCTTTCGATTGACATTGCAGACAGGAGTCCATATTAATTGTTTAGAAGTAATACAGTATATATTATAAATGAGTCTAAAATATAGCTATGTATGAGAAAAATAGTTCTTCTTGTTTGTGATTTTACTTAAGGTTTAAAAAAAGTTAGGTTTTAATTTTGCTCRAATATTTAATAAATGCACAATATATTATTGAACTGACTTCAGTGCAGTTGAACATTGTTGAGCTGTTATCTGTCTGGAAACTGGACTTTAAAAAAGACAATTTAATTGAATTCTCTTTTTTTAGGAATTTAGTTGAGAAACCTATTATGTCACCATTTTAAAAATAATTCTGCATCTATCTATGAATAAGGTTTCAGATTTAAAAAGTAATGTGTATGCTCCCTGCTCGTTCAGTAAAGGCGTGTTTTTCTTCAATACATGACATTAAATCAGTATTTCATTTTTACACAGAATGGTCAACAGCAGAAATATTATTAATATTTATTAAATGGTATGGTATGGTATGGTATGCTATGGTATGGTATGGTATGGTATGGTATGGTATGGTATGGTATGGTATGGTATGGTATGGTAAACACTGCAAAAGGATTTGCCTGGTTAAATAAAGGTTAATAAATAAAATAAGTAATAGAACATGGTACTACTTAAGAAGCTTGGAAAAAAGTGTCATTTACAAATACTGGTTAAAGATGCTTGAACATTAAAAGTTTTTCTCCTTGACAGACGTCTATTGCTGAGTGCTTGACCTACTTGGACAACGGTGTGGTGTTTGTGGGCTCCAGACTGGGAGACTCCCAGCTTGTAAAGGTAAGCAGAAAAGTGAGCACAGTTTGACTCAATGTACTGAATTCATTTTAAAACCTGTGTGACTTTGAAAACAAAAACTTCTTTTAGTGGCAAACAGGAGAAAATCAAGATTAACACTGAATCATTGTGTAACTTTTTTCTGTTTTTACACTTTTGCAAATGCTTGATTAGCTGTTTTTTTATTTTTAAGAGCTGGGTCTTTTTCCAGTTTACACTGTCAATCACTTTGTAAAGAAAACCTTTATTTCTTTGCAGCTCAATGTGGACAGTAACGAGCAGGGCTCATACGTAACAGTAATGGAGACCTTCACCAATCTGGGGCCTATAGTGGACATGTGTGTGGTGGATCTGGAAAGGCAGGGCCAGGGCCAGGTAAACACTAATGTGTAAAAATACACAGTGTTTGATGTAAAAAATATCTTGGCATTTGGCAGCTTTTGCCTATGCTGAGTTTTTATTTCTGTTCGCCTAAAGTCTCGTGCACTACATTTTAAATAAGATCTTGTGTGATTTTTAAAATATAGTTTCAGAGTACTTCTTTCATGTAGCCTTTAATCTTGCTCTAATCTTGCTGTGGACTCTTAACTTTGAACAGTTGGACATTGGACAATAATGTGGGGTTTTGTTTTGTCCCCACCTTCAGTTATTCCCACATAAAGCAGCACAAGGCTGACAGATAGTAAAAAAATAACTGGAGTGACTTTGAACTGTTATTTTACACTTTAAAAGTACATTTTGTTTTTATTATGTTTTGTTTTTCAGGGTGTTCTAATTCATTTAATTTATTTTTATTAAATTGTAGAATGTTCTTCAGTTTAAAATGTATATGATCCATTGGTTAAAAATAAATGGGTCAATATTTCTCATACCTACTCTTTTTCACTGTTTGACTTGATCAAGACTTTCCTAAGATTTCACATTACAAAATAGGTAAAAGTGTGTGATTCGTACTGATATGGTATCAGGTCAATATTGGTATTGATCAATTCTCAAAGTTGCAGTATCAGTATCYTATCGGAAGTGAAAAAGTTGTATCGGGACAKCCCTAGTATAGAGGAAAACGTTTCCAAAAATAAATTTAAGTTTCGATTTATCTGTCTACAGAACAAATGTCCATTTTGTCTCAGTCCATTTTAACAGAGTTTTGGCCAAGTAAGGACCCCTGCATTTCTAGGTGCGACTTCTATTTTGCATGATAGAGCTTTAACTAGTATTTGTGGTTGGCACTGTGTTCACAGACTATGATTTGTGGAAGTGTTCCTGAGCCCATGCACTGATGTTCATTACAAAATCAGTCTAATAATGAATAAAGTTCAACTTTAACTGACTTTCAGCCCTGTTCTTTGCACACAGATCTCTCTCCACATTTTTGAAAACTTTTGATTATGTTATGAGCTGTAGAAGATGGGATATTCAAAACACTTCCAGTTTTCTATTGAGGAACATTATTCTGAAATAGCTCTACTATTTTTAGACACGGTTTTCAGATTCATTTTTTCTTCCCAGTCCTCTTACTGACCTCTTGCCAATTATCTTAATTAGTTGCAATTWCTTTTGTAGCCTTTTGTTGCATCCATAACAGTTAACATTTATACTTTTTTACATTTTTTTTAGTTCAAATATTTGATATGTTTACCATGTTAAGTAAAATATGAATTTATGGGATTTAAAAATCATTGCATTTTATTTTTAAACTACGTTTTGTACAACATCAACTTATTTCTAAATTGAGTTGTAAATACAGAATAACACTGAAGGATTATATCATTCCGATAGTAAGTTTTTCAAAAAATCTACTGCAGAGTTTGAAAGGAGGACTTGAAAATTTTATTATTATGTGTCTTATTTTGTATTGAACCTCAGAAGCAGTGGGACATGAAACAATCAAACTGCGAAGATATTGTTGGCAGGAATTGACACCAGGCTTCAGGGCACTGAATGTGATTCCAGAGGCACTGGCCCACAAGAGCGCTGAGCCACTTGGCTGGGCACAGACCAGCACACTATCAGCCAACGACTGTTTGCACACATTCATGCTGTCTAACTCGTTTTATTCTGTTTACYTCCAAAACTGAATCTAATCCCAGTTGTTGTAATTTGCCATTTGCTGCAAATCCGTAGAGCATTTGCCTGGGTAATTGATGAAGACAAATTCCAAAAGTGTTAGGAGACTGATTCACAAGCTGCAGGACAAAATGGAACCWGACCTCTTTCAGAAAGAGCAGTGCGAAGTCAAGCCTCAAGATCATGGCCACAGATGTTCAGCTTAATAAAACAATGTTGTTAAAACCAGCCTGAACACAATCTAAACAGAGGTAAAAAGATTATCAGGAGGCTGGACTGTGCGTGAGAGTGCAGTCWAGTACACGAGGCAACATGCTTGGGTGGAATTAAGCAGGTTTTTTTTTTTTTTAAGTGGGTTGCCAGGTTCATCATGYCTATTTCCATCAGGATGGAGCTGTTGGGTGGCAGGTGGCACAGGGTGAGATTATGTGAGCTCTGGTAATAATCCTGTTATTGCAGCATGACTGGATGAATAAATAACATTCTGGTGCACTCCAGTCAGGCTGCACAGATACAAGAATTATTAACCTTCAGGATGTTGGATCTTAACCCCTATCATGTTTCTTAATGAGAAGCTTTACTTTGACTTTATTCACCAGTAATAGTRTTTCCTTCATGACATGCATTGTACATTAGGAGAAAATGTGAAGGGCTTTCAAAGCTTAAATTAGAAGAGTGCATATCGCCTGCTGCCTTTCATGCTAGAGTTTGAAACTGAGGTCTTTTTATGATGAAAGGCAGTGTGTTATAGCCTGTTTTGATCAAATCTTATGCAGTATCTCAAGTGATATTYTGAGATCTGGTGTGATCTGTTATGTTAGCTACTACCYCAACAAATTTTAGTTCCATGTCTGTAAAATTAGTCGAAGTAAAGCTATTTTTGTGTTTGCTAAAGGTGGTTAGTTGTGGCAGCCATCTTGGATTTGTTTGTCTCTAAAAATGTATTGATGTACATTCATTGTTTATTTTCTGGGAGTTCTATTAAAATCCATTCAGTGGTTTAAGATATGTTTTGCATGAGGACATCCAAACAGACTATCAACATTATTGCTTTTTGCAGTTGATTTGTTATATCGTGATTTGCATTTTTGAGCCCCTAAAAATGAAAGCATTGAAGGAATTTTTAGCCTGATTCATCAAATTCATTTCAACTAAACCACAGGATGAGAGTCTGATTGCTCATGATTTGCCTCATTAATTTTCCTTTTTGCTAACGTCAATAAGTTTAATTGCCTGTAATTAATTCTCAATCTTCAGCGATTAAGGACTGTTGCGTTTAGCTTTCACAAATGTCACTGATAGATTTATTGATCATATAAAACCTGGACCGTGTGTCTTTTAAAACTAAAAGTGATAGAAGAAGCAAGACATTATCAGACAAGTTAGGAGTAGAAACACGTGTTTGACACAGCCAGCCATGAAATAAAAAATTATCTTGTATCTCACTCTGTATCCTTGTCTCTCTGTGGATTTCAGCTAGTGACATGCTCAGGTGCATTCAAAGAAGGCTCTCTGCGGATCATTCGGAATGGCATTGGGATTCACGAGCACGCCAGCATCGACCTGCCYGGAATCAAAGGTTCGTGTGTTCTTTATGTTTTGCGTCTGTTTCTCTTCTGACGACTTCCTCTGAAGTCCCGACTTTATGGAGCCCCTAACGCCTTACTAACCTCYCAGCACAACCACTTCAACCTGCACATCTGTTCGCCTCACCAGCCAGCGTGCCAGCTGTTGCTCATCCAGGCTCGGCACACGACCGCGAGCAGATGGCGCTCATGTCATAGGTCTTGGCTTGTTACTTTCAAAATGCCAGGAAGATTGCCAGTGTTAGGTCTGGCCACATTTGTTTTCATTTAGCAAACCAAAGAGCTCTCCAGTGTATGCTGTATTAAACAGTCAAGTAGAGAAATGCCATCGGGTTTTAACGACCTCCTAATCCTACAAAATTAAGTTCCCCTCACAGGATTTGTCTGCTGCTTAAACAAGACGCACGGGCCAGTAAAAGGTCTGCTTGCACTTGTTCAGCCTCAGCTGTTTATTGACACTCGCAAGCCTAAAAGTCCCAGCTGCTGGCTCCTGCCCCCGGCCTTTTGATGAGGGACAGTTATTCACTTAGCCAATCAATGGCTTTCTGAAAAAAACAGATCTGCAACCTGTTTATCTTCTAGCATGTTTGCATTTAACAGATGGAACGGTTAAAAACTGGCTTCTGGCTGGATTCTGTATTTCTGTTATAGCAGTGCAGAAAATAACTTGCTTTTATAGCTCTCCATTTCTGAATTCCCCTCAAGGTTTGTGGCCACTTCGCTCTGAGGCTGGAAGGGAGACGGATGATATGCTGGTGTTGTCTTTTGTGGGTCAGACCAGGTGAGTGTTAGCTGCTGCAGTATGCTGGATATGTCTGAATGCAGTTCTGATTGTACAAATCTTTGAGTGTGTGTTTTTTTCTCCCTCAGAGTGTTGATGCTGAGTGGAGAGGAGGTTGAGGAAACTGAGTTGCCAGGCTTTGTGGACAACCAGCAAACATTTTACTGTGGAAACGTTGCACATCAACAGCTTATTCAAGTATGTACTAACACACACACACACACACACACACACACACACACACACACACACACACACACACTCGCACACACTTTATCAAAAGCACATCAGCAGAGCATTTCCTAGTTTGACACCAGTTTGATGTCTAATGTCTTAAAATGATCTGACTTAAAGTATTTATAAATCTCAGTTTAAAGTAAGAATTTAAAATTTCAAAAATTCAACATTATTCCACAAAATTAAAATTTTATTTGGGCCTTTTGCTATTTCATAAGCTATATTTTGCTGAAGCAGGCTCATAAATGATTGAGAGGGGCATTCCTGACTATGAAGGACGCCACAAGACTCCGTGTYCTTTCCACTTGCCCGTGATGGATATTGTACTTCATTTAAATTCAAGTTTCTGTCTGCCTTTTTGAAATGAAGATAAGACCTGCTGGGAATTCTGCCAAAAGTCAGACCTTAACCATTAATCTTTCGGTTGTTATGACAACACTCCTCATATTTTAATGCTAAAAARGTTTCTATCTCTAGTTTCTCTCAATGAAAATTCATTATTTACTTGGGGGAGTGATAAAAGCTATTATTTTCACATCTCAAGGCTTTTACTCCACTCTAGCATTGTGGGCTCACACAAAGTTAGTCTATTAGAAGTTTGTTATAATTTTTAACTTTTATTAAAATAACCTAGTGTAGAGTTAGAAACTTTARGTTTTTTTCAGTAACCCCATAAAAAAGTAATAGCTCAAGTGTYCTCGAAAGAAGTCGTTTTGGCAATCTCACATGTGATGTTGTAACAATCTCAGTTGTAACATTCTAAGTAWGTGTTGTGAATGYCTGTCAGCTACTGCCACATCAAATTTAATTCAGTATCCATTAAATATGAGTTATTGACATTTTGTGGTTGTTAATGCTGATTACCTATAGTAGCCATCTTGAATCGACTCCTAATGTTAACTAGTTGTAAATTTACATCCAATGATTACATTCCAAGAGTTTCATTAAAATCCATTCAGTGGTTTTGTTGCTAACTGACAYAAAAAGTTGACTGTAAAAGTGAATGTAACAGTTTTAGGTCTAGACCAGGGCTATTTAACTGGCGGCCTGTGGGCCACATCTGGCCCGCAAGTGACCAAAGTTCGGCCCGCCAATTGGTTCATACATTTCTTAAGCCCAACCCCCCGGTTCTCTACTTTAATTACACTAAGTTCTTTTAGTTAAACACAGACATGTTTGGTATCTACAGAAACATCAGAGTCTTGGCTAGAAGCTGATAAAAACATTTCTATGAACATCCAAGACAGTTAAAACTACAAGCAGTGGAAGATAAAACTATGAAAGTGAAAATAAAATTGGTTTAAAAATTGGTAAGTCAGATATGTCAAAATAATATTTGTTAAATAGGAGGCATAATGTGTTCTTTTTGTTTAATTATCACTACTTTTGATTGATTGATTGATTGATTGATAATGCCTTTATTGTCATTGTACAGAGCACAATGAAATTACATTCAAGAACACCCATTTCAAGAAGACACACATGACAAAATTGATATTTTATAGGGTTCTGTGTATGCTATATCCTTGATTAAATACAGCAAAATAAACTATATCAAAGGTAACAGATCTTTGTAATACTTGGTTTATTTACATAATTACTTTAATTGCTGGATGTTCGGCCCCTGAGCTGTTGACCTGCAGTAACTGTGGCCCCCGGAGCAGTTTAGTAGATTAGCCCCTGGTGTAGACCTTGTGCAGTGAATAGGACTTAGTTATGTGTTCTGAATGGCTCTCAGTCACGGCTACAAATACATAACTTTAAATGTAATGTATCTACACATTTGACAAAAACATTGCATGTAAGGTCAGTTGACTGTGGAGCCATCTTGATCTGGGCTCACTCTAAAAGATGATCAATTTTAGACCTYCAGTCAGTGGTTATATTCTGCAAGTTTCATTATTGTCTCCCCAGTGGTTTAGGAGATATTTTATCACACATAAACACATTGCAGACACTGGCAAAAACACAATTGTRTGGCCTCACCTTTTGGAGGCAAGTGACTAAAACAAAGTACTGTAGAAGATATAACTTGGATTACTGGAATTTTTTGAGCACAAAGCCATTTAGCATGTTGCTTATAGTGCCAAACCCAACACAAGTTAATGCCTGACTTTGCAGCCTTTTGCAGCCTTTAGCCCTGTTGTGGCTCATTATTTTGGTCCATCATCTTTGCACATACACTGTGTGCCCGGGCTGTGCTCTTTTTAATTAACCTCGCAGTAAAAACTGTATGCAGCTCATTCTAGTAAATGAGTTGGAGCAAGTCGACTGTGCCGACCCACTCAGTATGTTATGGCTGAAATCTTAAAAACGCAGGGGGTAAACAATGCAGCGCGTTAGAAAATGTCTCCTCTCAGGGGGGAATCAGAAAGCAAAAGACCAGTGGGTGTGGAACTGAATGAACAATTGGCCATAAACATAATTTCACACCAACACATCTCTAAATCAAATTAAGTGTTTACCACTTAGGTCCAGATTGAAATCTCAATAGGACTTAAGTTGATAAATGCAGCAGACATCAGGGTTCTCCAGACAGTAATCGTTATCATTTGTTGTCTCTCTTCCTCACTTTCCTTTTAGTTTCCTTAAAATAATTCCATATAAGTCTTCATTAGCTATATTTGTGGTTTACAGAAATATAAAATCATACGATTTGGTCCAGATGATAAATCATCGCTCCAACTGTTAAAAGGTTGGAGATTACCCAACTCGTTTAGCACAATTCCCTGGACAAAATTTCTAATGTGCTCAAAATGTTTTTTGTTACCTAATATCAGCAAAATCAGCCATACTTAATGCTAATTAAAATAGTTGTGTTAAACTGCAACTTTAGCATTTTTGTAACATTTAAAACAGCCTGTTTAGCGTTTTGTTCTGTTTTGTTTTTAGTACCTTAGCCTGCAGATAAAAAGACTTTACGCTAAAAGTGCCGTTGTGGTGAAATCCTTCATAAAGCTCTGAGTTTGGCTAAAAAACAGAAACTTAAAGGATAATCAAACAGTGCTGATAGATGCTATCAGTGTGTTCTAATATAACGAACACTCTGAAGAAAAACACATTTAACATTCACAAAAACTGAAACCACTTCTTCCTCTGTGAATAGCCTCTGAATTTTAGCTCACTGCAAGCCTTCAAAATWGAACCATTTAGTTCTCTGCCATCTGCAATTGATTTCAAGGATTCTATTAAGGACCCTGCTTTGAAAATATGTTAGTTTCACATTTCATTAAACCAACACATTATTAGTTTTTTTATTTTTCCTAAAGTTCAACACCTCTATTTGTAGTTGGACTCTTCTTTGTACCAGCTGTAGTCTTTTAATGAGGCTTCTGTAACTCCTCATTATTTTCTTTAATTTCTTGCTTTTTATTGCTGCATGGCTCCTTTTTAAATAATTACATTTTGGAAGACTAAGTTTGTATTTTACCAAAAACTGAGGCAGGTAATTCATTCAAACAAAAACTGTTTAGGAAAAATAAATGCTGGACATTTATCACTCATCATTTTCTTTAATAAATCTTTTCTCTGTACAACTGTTCCTTTTTATTTAACTTTTTCTTGTGAGTATGGATGTAAATTGTTCATTAACAAGTTAAAATTTGAACAAGTTCCTGGTAAACAAAATGTAAGGCTTTCTTTTATCTTGGGCTCATATTCAACATTTTATCTTTTATTTAACCTTCAGTTTCTATTTGCTCAACCAATGTTACAGAGATGAACCTTGTTCTTTTTCAACACCTCCCTAACATCTTTATGCATTAACTTTAATTACTGGTGAGATTTAATAAAAAATAATTTTTAAATTAAATTGTCACAATTTATGAGATTTAAAAAAAACTTTGCGAAAAGTTACATTTGCTATTAAGTAAAAAGAAAAACGAGTCAACCTAATTTTACATAGTTTGACTCTGTCTCTGTATCAGCTTCTGCCTTTTTCCAGAAATGCTGCTCTTTTTTCTAAAAACAAAAATCTGTGTCCGTTCAGATCACATCAGGCTCAGTGCGCCTGGTGCTTCAGGACAGCAAGGTGTTGGTGAGTGAATGGAAGGAGCCGCAGGGGAAAAACATCAGCGTAGCTGCCTGCAACCACACACAAGTGGTGCTCGCTGTGGGACGAGCCCTTTACTACCTGCAGATCTTAGCCGGCGAACTCAAACAGATCAGGTAGGACACAGAGTCTCACAAACGTTTATTGCGTGAATGCTGAGTCAGCAGTCACATTATTGTTTTTCTGTTTGTAGAGTATCTTGTGTGTTTTGGACTCCTAACTACTTCAACATGCTTTAAGCTATTTTAACCACTCAGTTATCATTCAGATTATTATTCAGGGTTCATGCAGGGTCTTAAAAAGTCTAAAATCTAAAATCTGAAAATCTAAATTTTAGGCCTAAAAAAAGTCTTAAAACCACCCAGATTTTCATCCAAGGTCTTAAATGTAATTTTGTCAAGTCTTAACTTTTTTTTACTTGTTCTTGTATTAAAATT